GAACAACCGCGCGCGTAACACATAACCAACGAAATGGAAGCACAAAAAAAGCGAACCCGTTCAACGCGCATTAATGGCATCCCAAATGCGATAATCGTGAACATATAGCACACCCATGCACAGACACACACACTCTGCTGAGTGGTGACTGATGATACAGCTATCTGACTGCCGTTGCCTTGTTGTTGTTATTGTTGTTGTTTATTTGGCGCGCATTTTTGTTGCTTCATCCCAGTATGAATTTTAGATGCCTGAAAGTATGCAAATATATGAGCACAACCATATCTTCTTACATAATTAACTTTAAATAAAATAAATCAATGCGAAAAATCATTTTTATAGTTGATAAGCGAAACAAGAGACTTGGAAAGATTTATAAACGGGTTCAGCACGCATCGCTGAAGAATAAGAACGAACGAGCGAGCGAGCGATATGACCGAAGTCAAGAAAACAAAAAACACATTTCAAACCCATTATTATTAATGCGTCGAAGTGCGCGCGCGCGCGTTCGGCGTTGCATTTGAACACCAGCGAGTGCGCGTCGAATTGAAATAAAATCAAATAAATACATTGTCACGACTTCTTATGCCACTTCCTCCTCGGGGGCCTAAATGAACTTTTGTAAATATTTATTTATAATCATATGAATCCATGCAGCCATGCTACCATGTAGCATGTTTTACGAAATTTTACTTATGAGATAAACAAAATGCAACGAGCAAAAGTACAAACATTTTGATGATAAACATTTTGATGATAAACATTTTGAAAAGCTCAACGAAAAATTTCTTGTGTGTTGTTCCCGATGTTGAGCTAGTGTTCGCTAGCTAGTTCACCCGCACCGCGCGCGCTCACATACACTCATAGCGATTCCCATTTTCCGGGGCATATTATTATATTGGGAGATGTATGGTATGCATTTTGATGCTGTGCGCGATTCCGTTTTTCTGTGTGTTCTCCGCATGTATTTTCATCAAATGCAACAGCAAAAGATTTCGGGGAAACGTAAATATTATCAGTCTTCCGCACGATCGCAATAATAGCGCCATAACTCTAACCATTTTAAACTGATTTCTGCTCGGCGAGTGTATGCGTTTCAATCTCTCGCTCTCTCTCTCTCTCTCTCTCTCTCTCCACGGTTATACACATTATATTTTGTTTTTTTCTCGTCATGCAGAAATTCTGTCATGGTTTTGCTGCTCTTTACTACTTCATTGGCAGCTCAGCTACTGAATACACGATTACATTATACACAATGCATCTCGCTCCTTCATTTTTCCACCAGCCGAAGAGATATTTGCACCCATAGTAGTGTAGCCGGCTTGCTTTGCACGAATCCGTTCCGCGATATATGTAAATAAGTTGTTTTGAAACAATTTAACGTGAATATGGCAGCATTCGGATTCGCAGAAGTAACCAAATCGAATGCAGATTGACTTTGGTATGGTTAAGATAGTGTGAGAGTTCAGCATTGGTGAATGCTACAGCCGGCGACACATTTCGTTGTGTATGTGTGTGAGTTGTTCAACCCGAACAACCAAACCGTCAGACAATAGATTAAAATCACTTTTCAAAGCATCGATTGATGATTTGCTGTGCATTTGAGCACTTTTCACACACAAACACATGCACAATCGCACACAGGGAGAGAGAGAGACACAAACAAAAAGTCATGTTCGACATTTTCAGCATTGTTTTAAACATATATATTACGGCATACGTATCAGTATGCGTCACATTGATATTACGTTTGGGAACTGAAAACCCAATATTTTTATCTTTCGTTATCTTAGCATTGAATCTATTAGTTTTGTGAAGCAGCATTGCTTCCAATATAAATCCGTAGCAAAAAAAAAACGGAGCGAACGAACGAACAAACACAAGGGCGAGTATGGAAGAGAGAGACAGAGAGAAAAATGATCAATCAATGTGCTCGTATCGCCAGAGAGCAAATAAAAGATTATGCGATAAATGAAAAATTCCATTTATAATGGACCGAATGAAATAAAAACAACAAAAAACGAAAAGAAAAAAAAATAGCGACGATTTCCTCTGCGTTTGTGTTTGTGCATTTCAATGAAAAGGTAATTTAATGTTCGTTGTCGCACCGACTGTACCCACACTCATACATAATTTAACCGGTATAAACAGTTTAGCACACATTTTTCATGAACTTAGCAATTGTGAATAGTCGACGCCGTTGCAAACGCTAACTTTTCGGATTCTTATCGCACTTACCATCGTTCGGAAATAGTACGATAAGGGTGGAAGAGCGCACATTGCTGCTGCTGCTGCTGCACCGACTGTGCCACTCGATGGTGTAGCGTGAACCGTTGCTATGTACTTGCATGCTTTCATCATCACCGCTACCACCACGACCACCACCGCCACCGAGCGCTCTCGCTCTCTCGCCAGCGTTGAAGTACAACAAAAACGATTGCACGATCGCACACAGAATGTTTGAATGCTGAATGAAGATAAAATATTCTATTTGTTGTGTGTTATTTGAATCAACACAAAAACACGCAGCCAAGTGCACCAGATAGCACAGGAGAAGGGCTTGACTGCAAGTAGATAAGAGCATTACACACTGAAAATAAAAAAATCGTTCTGATGTTGGTGATTCAAAAACTTCATTGATGCAAACGCTATTCTCTATCCATTCATTTGGCGTTTTTGTACGTGTGTCCTTTTGTTCGAGATTCGAAAACGCATACAGCTCGATAATAAGTTAATAAGAAATGTTCAGTGATTCATCAAGAGCAGCAGCATCAGTTCTGGAATGTGGCCATCAAAATCGACCCGACACAATAAAATAAATTATCGGATAATTTTCAATTAGAGCAGCCCATTTTCTTCAATAGTAATTCGAACTATGAAAAGTGAATAAAAAATATGAAGAAGAAAATCCGAAAATTCGATTTTCTAAAATAAATAAGTTGTTCCTGGTGTGGCAGTGGTGACGTTTGTGATGATGGTGTATACGGTGCATCCGATGTATATGTCTGAGGCTACATGTGCTCCAGTGCCAATGTTATCGCTTATCGTTTGTAAATCTGTATGACAGAAATATAATATATCATGTCAGCATTAAATGCATGCATAGTACACGAACACCAAGTTTGTATGGCACCACGTTCATTTGTTTGGATGTATGCTCCGATAGATAGGAACGACCGGCATACACATACACATCGATATACACAAACATAGACACACGGGCACAGACACAAACACATATCAGCCCAAAGAGCAAGAGAGAAAATACCATTGTTGATCGGACCGATTGATAACATGCGCTTGATCTCTCCTACCCTTACTCATCATCGATTCATGTACAGTGTACTGTTCACACACACACACACCGTACACACAAACGCAAATGCATGCCCGATATACATAATAGTGTCTGCTGGTTCTTGCTGATAACATAACGAACCGACAAACTTGAATTAGACTGAAAGAGAGAGAAAAATGTGCACAGCACACGAAATATAACAAGCAAAGAAAAAAGACACATGCAAACCCATACACGCATTATAAAACATTTTAACGAACGTTGGAATAGATAAAACCATCACATCGGCGAAAAGTTCCGTTTCCATTTCGCTTTCTGTATGCTCGCTCGCTCGCTGTGTGAGTGTGTTACGTTTGTTGTGTTGTTTCTTTTTTTCATTCTTCGCAATGCCGTATTACATTCCATTTGCTTGTTGTAAATGAAGCACAAGCAACTGATAAGAAATAAATCTTTGAGTGAGATAATGTTTTTCAAAAAAAATGCTCCCGATAAGACTAGTAGACGAAATATGTTTTGGGATGGGGAGGAAAATGTGTTTGATGCGACATTGCCGTCAGTGACTTCATTGGATCCCGTCGACGAGGAACGACAAACTAGAATTAAAACCTCACAATGAAGAAAAAAAAAGTTTTCTGTGTTGTTTTGTAAGTTTATACCATTGACACAATGGGTACCTACTGTTAGGTGTTTTTGTATACACGCCTCAACATCGTTCAGAAGTAATGAACTCTCTCTCTCTCTCTCTCTCTCTCTCTACTGCTTTCTTCTGACTTCCATTGAACTGGCGTCCAAAAATGACACACCATCCACATGAAAACAACAACAACTTCTGATGTTCAATGAGATACCTCCAATGACAGCATTATCTGCTTAAAAATAACGTCCTTTTCTCTTCGCTCCACCATCCCTTCACTCTCTCCCTCTCTCGAAATGATTCTGATCGATAAGGACACCTTCCTTATTTCCTCAGTTTTTGTTCCCTTGCGACGAATGTGCTATGCTTTTTTTTTATCTTGCGAGTCGTTTTCCCATTTTATCATTCCATTCGTTTTCCGCTTAATCGATCGAAAGGCATGCGCTTGCACGTATGCTGGCTACAATAAAACTTCTACATTCATTTCATAAATTTTGGATTCTAGTAACTTTTCACGTATTTACAAATGGTGCGCTTCGTCCCTGCTCTTCGTCTCTCTCCCTCCCTCTCTCTCTCTCTACATATATATTTTATGTGCGATAAAATCTTTGATCATGATAAAAATCAAAACCAATGCAAACAGCAACAGCGACAGCGTCCGTAACAGTGTGCGACGACTACACTGTATCTTATGTACAGTCAAAAAGCCATTAAAATGATTGAACGTTTCGAAGCGCCAAATTTGATTATAAATTGACGTCCATTGTGTTCATTGTTACGAAATATGCGTATAACATTTTCCCAACATTACTTTCAGATTACAGGATTAGATTTTCGTAGTTTGTTTTTCTTGCTTCGCGTCAAATTTAACCGCTTTTCTTGTTGCTAATTCAAAAAATAGAATCCATTCGGATAATTAAAAATGACGGATTTCACATTGATTTTTAGTCGGTTTATTGCGTAAAAGGTCTCTGATTCTTATGAACTCTAATTTAATTGTAGATTTGATTGTTGCTATGGAGTTTTTTTTTCTAAATTCAAATTTTACTCTCTTCTTTTTATCAACAGACGAAAGCGAAAATCCAGTACGAAACATGGCAATCTTGCAACAAGGTAAGTCTGTCTTTATTATTTTTTAAATTCTTATAAATTTGTTGAAATTACCTTATATCGAATTAATTTTTATGGAAGCACCTATAGTTGCGATTGTTTGTTATAAATCATATTTTTTGTCGTAATTTTTTTTTCTCGTGTCTGTGTGAAATTTTCGTAAGACATCATGAGTGTTAATATTGTGGGCATCCAACAGCGAATATCTCCTTGGATTTTTTTTCTTCGTCGAACATGAATCATCAATAAGAAGAGTGAATTTGTTCGGTTTTTTTCCTTCGTCCACGATGTGTGTGTGAGAGCGCTGTTAAAATGACAACTGTATGTGGGTTTGAACTTTTCTATCGTAATGTTTCATCTTTTCCACTTTCTTATCAAGGAAAGAAGAACAGTGCCCGCATAGAAAACCAAGAGTTTTTTTCTTCTGTTGATTCGAACACCGCACGTATTTTGATTGTATGTGAATTTGTGGCTTGTGTCTGTGTGTATTTGTGTGACGATGAATATGTTTTTCCGTTTGCTAATTCGTACACTATTTATCGCGTGATCTGGTGTGCATTCTATGACCAACGGCGCATTAAGTACCATGTATCATAGAGAAAATGATACGTACACATTTGTCATAATATTTATTATGTCCATATTGGAAGTGGCAATCGCAATGAAAAAAAATACGAACGACGCAATAATAAAGCACGTTGCTGTTTGTTAGAAAGTTGGAGAGCATGTGGAAAAAAATAACAATTGTGGATACCCACGTAAACATGGGTATAGAAAAATGTAAATAAATCCAACACTTATCTGTAGAGAAAAAGAGAAGTGCATTTAGTGCGTCTATGTGTTACTCGGGAAAAAAAGGAATTGCAAATGCAATAAATCACATGATCACATACAACTGATGTGAACTAATTCCATAAACAATGATTACGCAATTCGTAAAAGGTCGTGAAATTGTCCAAAAATTAGCAAGATCCCAATTTTGTTGAAATTTTATCAGTTGCTGGAATTCTAACGTGACACATAAAATGTTCGAACGAATAAAAAAGCGATAAAAAAGCAGCCAACGTTATTAATTTCGTTTGGTTTTCTTTTCTTTTTTTTCTTCGCTTTATTTAAAATCGATCGTTATCGTTGCCGTTACGGCATTCGTTCTTGCGACTCAGAATGGATTTGTGCATTCGGTGGTGGTACAATGCATTTTTTTTGCACAGCCACTTGCAATATACATACTGACTGCTGATTATCTCCTTTGTGTGTAAGGCTTTTTTTCTTTTACTTTGTTACATTATTATTTTGGTACGTTTTTTTTTAATTCCTCAACGGAATTATTCTGCACAATCGAAGTGTTGTTTTTTTTGGTGAACTCGTAATCGAATCGCTAATCAGTACTTTTTATTAAACAAAGCAAGAACGGTTGTGCTGCGCTTTTTTTTCTCTCTCTTCACTTGGATATTTGCTCGTATTTTATCCATTGCCTAAATTAAGTTTGGACTTCTTGGATTGGTATCATGGCCCTCACATGCGCCCATAGTGTAGTGTGATGATGTGAGTTTATGCGATCTCGTTCGCGTTTTACGTTTGTGCCGTTTGCGATAAATTCGATTTCAGTTCTCTCGTGTGTGTGTTTTTTTTTTCTCTTCTGCGGTTGTTTGCCGTCGTTTCGAACGTATTCTCATCACGATTGCACACTTAGAGCTCCTCTTATATGTATATATATGCTTCATCACTACTGAAATCTATAGCTCAGTAACAAAAGGTTTAACTAGAACGAAAAACGGCAAAACACACATTTGCAGCAGCGCGAAAGAGAGACGCGCTGTGCAGCAGCGTTAAACTTAAAGCGAAAAACACTTTTCGTTATATATATGTAGTGTTTTTTTTTATTGTTTTTTACATTTTATTCCTTTTAATTTCTGTAGTGTTGGTCGCTGTTGGAACGACCGTGTGGTTATATCTCTGATTCTGTCTTGCGATTTCACCGTTGTGTGTTGCACAAATATGTGTGTGAGTGTTGCCGTTTTTCACTGCAATTTTTTTTTACTTATTGCCTGATGGTTGCCATGGTATTGCACTCTGTCGCTTACCTGCCCAAGACACATCGAACACACAAGAGCGAGAAAAGTGCGTTCGAAAACAAAATCCATTGTATAAATGCACATTGCACATGGTTCTCTCTCTCTCTCTCTCTCTCTTCAAATCGCGCGGATACTCACCATTTCGATAACAAAAGGAAGAACGAACGAAAAAAAAAAACAACAACGAGCAAACGAGTGATTCGGCGAATGAAAAAAAAAAATTATTCGTGAGATATTTATTACCGCCAAGCACCGAACAGATATCAATTTTCAATCGTTTGTTTCAAGAACATTATCAAAATGTTAAAATCTTTCACTTTTATTTGTATGTTGAAACACAAAAAGAAGAAACGGTAGAGATCAAAATAGTGCGATTTAGCACTGTAGCAATGCAACACAACACCCGACGATGGTCCAAACACTGAAATTTCCTTTGCCATTTGCTATTCTATTTGTACTTTCGTGAGTGCAATGGCAAATTTTCACGTGGAAACTTGAGGTTTTGCTACACATACAGGACGGAATAAGAAGAACAACATGTACAATCAGTTGCAGAAACAACAACATGGTCACACCGATCGGCAGTGCAACAAAACAAGAACAAAACAGAAACAAAATTGAGCGAAAAAAGAGTCAAATATCGAAATGGATACGTACATTTCGGATTCGAGCCATGCACCTAGTTACGACTGCATATATATAGCCGATTCGCAATCGGTTCCCTTTGTATTGTACTGTGCTGAATTGCTTTTATCTAGATCACCAGGTAGTGCATTTCTTACACCGTTCAGCAATAGCAGAAGCAACAACGAATCACTTCCATCTCTGTCGCACCTTCGCCGGAATGGGCGTTGCGCGTACAAAATTCGATTGAGAACTGATTTCTGGACTCTCATCGCGATCAACGTATTTCCATCTAGTATTCGCACAAAAATCGTGTTCGCTTTTCACAACGGACATTTTGTTGTTGTTGTCGAAAAGAATTGGCAAGATCGCAATTTTCATTTCAATTTTGAATCATCAAAAATGGTTCCATTATCCAATCCCATTTGATTTTCATGGCGATTCCATGACAGTCGTATCAAAGTTGTTCAAATCACAGTTTTTTTGGGTGTCGAATGCTCTTCGTCAGTTTAAAGTATCCATCGTTCGGTCGTCACACCGACATCATTCATTTTTGCACTTGGATGTGCTTCGGTTTTTTTCGATAGTGTCAAGAATTATCCATGAATTGATTGTATTGTAAACAGGAGCTCGTCCATAATGGACAGACAGCGCGGGAAGCTTTCGAATATCGTTGCATGGAAGAGGCAAAGAAGCAAGCGGAATATTTTTCAAACTTCTACGTGTGTATGTGTGTGGATGTACAAGTGTGAGTCTTCACTCTATTCTCTCGGTTTTATTTATTTGATGTCACCCCATTGTATGTAGGTGGAATTCAACGATAACGTTTTCAGTAGCTGCGGGTTGCAGATAAGACTTTTTATGTACAAAATATTTGGTGTGTATATGTATGTACTGGCTGGTGTGTATGGTTCTATTGCGATTTTTCGCCGTTGTTCTTTCAACGTTCGATTGGCCCCATAGTCTCATACTAGCTTCCACACTATTCCATTGTTGTCTATTTATTATTAACTATAAATATATGCTTGTACGGTTTGTTTGTGCTGCTCGTTGCCCATGAGCGAGCACCAGCTCTCACACACATATACACAGAACCATCTGCCCTTTGCTGTAGAAATTCTATTCTTTTTTTTGTGTCAAAAAATTACACCGTATCATGCGATTTCTGTGTGGATATTGATATATGTACGTGCATTATCGACACATTGATACACATCCCGTTCATGTGAATGAGCCGTTTGATCTATTTATCAGCATAAGCCCGTATAAAATGTCCACTGAGTCAGCAATGTGTGCTCCATTGATAAACCAATTGGAATCTAATAAAAATAACTGAACGAAAGCGCCTCGATCATGTATCATGTAATCAAGGAGTTGACACGGCTCTATGTCTTTTGGAATTTCTTCAAAATTCTCCGAACACAAATCAAACGACTCACGATTGGAGGCATCAGTCTTCAATTTTTACTTTATATTCTTGAAAATTTCTTCATGACACTAAATATGTTCGGCTACATCATAAAAACTGACGACCAGTTACTGGCCTATAGCTATTTTATTTTCAATCAGAATGTAGAAGACGCGATCCATCTCTTGGATATTCATTAAATTGTCGTAGTTGCTTCTTTTCGTGGTAAACATTCCAATTTTGATGCATAGATCAGTTTCTTGAATTTTTCTTTCCTCCACAAATGTCACTTTGAATGTAGAAAACCGGAACGGTTACGAAAGCAAAGATTGTGCACACGAAACGCCGAGGGATAAGCAAACAAAAGAGAGCGAAAAAAATAGTTGATTTTTTTCCAACATTTTTTGCATTCAAGAACAAAACGAGAAGAAATGTAACCGAATAAAAGAATTGCTTAAACATACGAGAGATAATGCTTACAATTGTTCGTGCTGGCGAAAGATAACCGATACGGCTGAAAGTCATGTCGCATACGTAGGTATATGATGCAGGCATTTTAAACTCACTCCACCGGGCATTTAATTCATTCCTCTACATTTTCCGTTGTTTTTCTTTTGAACTTGTTTGGTACGGAGAAAGTGGCTACATGCGATATTCTCCCAATAACCAAAAGAAAGCTCCTTCTCTCTCTCTGTCTATATGCAATGCACACATATACCTAGTTCGGTAGCCCCGGCTTCACTATACTTGTTTTGAATTTGCAACACTATTTTCGGTTTGCTGCTGTTCCGTGAGCAGATAAGAAAAAGCTCAACCCTCTGGTGGATAAACTGTATCTTTATGCATTTTATGCAGATTGAATAGGGTGATCAGGTTGTGTATGTGTATTTTTCCTT